CTCATTCTTGTCACTTGCAAGAATAAAGCAATGTCAGCCTCCTTCCTGTGACAAAAATCCACCTACTATCGCAATTTCCTTCGCTATTCTTGAGCAGTCGGAGTCATTCTCAGCCAAGCTGGGCGAGCACGTTACATTGTGATTTGTATTAACCGCGCCTTCACTAAAATGATTGATGGAACAGAAAAACCCAAAGTCCGTTCTAAGCTTGCAAAATGTGCAGTGCAATACAACAAATTACGCTATAAAGGGTTAACAATGTGTCTATGTCTATATATGTGTCTAAATGATCTTGAATAACCGCCATGAAGATTTTCAAAACCTGACATGTTTTTGCAAGCCTTTCAAAAGTTTCCACAAAACGTACAGCAAAAAATAGGTAGGCGTAGATAACGCTGAACAAATGATAAAATAAACCTCTGAGTGTACCATTCGTGTTCGTAGCAAGATAGAAAACACTACAAACTTGCAAAATTAAAAATAAAATACTTTTTGTCATGTGCAATTTGAAATCTCTTTCTTTTCCATGCATCACGACTTTGTATCATTTTACTACATGCAATAGTGACCTAACATTTGTGATGCTGGGGAAAAGGTCTTGATTTTATTGTTGACGGTTTTTGTAAGACTATGAAATTCATTTGACTCCATTTTGAGACAAGAAACTTCAACTACACTGCAGCAAGACAAGTGCTTGTTTGTTTACCTTTTATTGGTGGAAATATTTTTTCCTACAGCTGATGACGAAATGTTTTCTGTTTTTGTTTCAAAAGTGCACAATGAACGGGGAATTTTGTTGTTCATTTAACGGAAGTTAGCCTGAGAATCATGATTTTCATGCACCCGTTCAGGCCTTTTGTTTAAAATTTTGGTCGCCCATAAGTAAATTGTAGGAGCCTCTGGCAACCAGGCCTCCATTAGGCAGTAGCCTTGACACTGCCTGGTGTAAAGCATGTAAATACATACCTTGACAAGTATGAAAACAGTTTTGATAGTTCAAAAGTTAGACTTCATACAAAAATACTGAATTAATTTTCCAAACTTTAAGATAAAAAACCTTTCGGTGGCAGTTTTTTATTAACTTTGCATATGCACTTGTACATGCAAGTGCCCTTGGCTGTACCGTTTGCTGTTTTTGCGAATGGCTGTCTTTATTTTTCTTGAGAAATAAATCGTGTCTCAAAATCCTTTCAAGTGGTGAATATAAAAAATGCTTGTTTCTCGAAACTGAGGACTCAGTGTTTGTGTTTTAAAACTTAATTTGTTGGAGTTTGAAGTATTCTTCTGTTTTCATCTCATCACGCAATGCTCATTAGCATTGTGTAATGAGACAAAATTGTCTGCGTTTCAAGGAGAGAGAATCAAGTCTCGAGGAAGAGGTCAGGATTGTCAACTTTAGATACAGACACTATCAATATGGTCATTCTGGTGAACTAATTTCAACTAGGTTTAGGTACACTGGCTGTAGGGGTCTGTTCTTGAAATACAATAAAGCAAATAATATCTCTAGTACAGGAAAAAGGAGATTGGCCCTTGAATGTTAGTTGATCCTTTACTACTGTTTACTACTATTTGTGCCCATGAGTTTGATAAATAATAAATTTGAAGATTATCGATCAACAGATTAGTGCACCATTTGTCGTGGTCTAGAAATGTGACACATTAATAAAGTTACTGTCTTTCTTAATGGGCCCCTATAAATGTAGCTTTCTATTTGAGGAGCCTGAAGGGCTCCCGAAAATTCTCTTAGCCAGCAGCCTTGCTCTAAGGTAACTGCAATTGCTCACTTGCACTTCCTAACCACTCTAACCATTGGTTACTGCTAGTTACAGCAGTTCTAAATTTGATTTTGGTTTGAGATAAATGCATTTCAAATTGGCAAAACCAGTGGTTCCATAACTGACCGTGTCCCTTAAACTAATCTATATAAGGACCAAAATCAGTTTTTTAAAAACATTTATTATTATTTATTCTTTTTAAGTGTGACTTGAAATCATATTCATTATTTTAGGTAATATATGTACCCCTCTTCCTTGGAAAAATGGCCACCTACAGAATAACAACATTGGTGGCCAATGGACTCTTACAAAGAGTAAGAGAATAAGCCAATTCCTAGAATAAACCCTGTTACTCTTTAGACCAAATAAATAAGTGATAGATGCTATAGCCCATTAAGTTTCAAGATCAACATGGCATATTTCCTTGAAGTGATCATTTTATTTATTCTCATAACCTTTCTACTTGATTATATACTGATGTTGTTTAAGGAAAATGGATGTTGATCACTCCTGGGACTTAAAGGGATAAACAAATCCCGACTGTAACACTTCATGTGGACTGATCTTCTATGGAAGTTGTGATTTATTTTTGATCTTCCAATTTCATGTGCTTGAGTGTTTCCATTTTGCATTCCACTGTTATTATGAAGAATCAATTATTGATACCATTTTCTGGCTGCTGTTTGGTTGTTTGTTTGTTTGTTTGTTCCTGGTCCAAAACAGGAAGTAGGGAACCATTACTTCAGTCTGTTCCTTCCTCTTCCTTTTTTGTGTTTATTGATGCATTTCACAGTAAATTAAATAAATTATGCGTCCCCCTCTCTAATAATCCTTCCTCTCTTTTAAGTTCCGCCTTTAAATATGCTTGAAATGAAAATGCCTCCAGGGAGCTTAATAGGGCATTTATAGCAGAACTCCACACTTTCGCGCGCGCTTGGGCGGAGCCCCATAGCTAAGTAAATCTACCCATCCCAGAAAATTTGGTTATCATGTGACCGTACACCGAACGAACGACCATCCGTCCGCACCACAGGCATACCAATGTTTACTCTCGCACTTTCTAGCTAGTTTGGGAGCCCAGGAGAAAACTGATTGCACATCAATGTTGTGATCAATTGACAGCTGTCAAAACAGGGTATTCGCTGACCAGTATCACCTGACCATATCACGGGCTCTGGTGTGTCGACCCATCAAGGTCAAGTATTTTTTTGAAGTTATCTGCTGACAAGTTACTAGTTTTCAAATCATCGCAGGCTCAAGTTTGTTTTTTAAAAATTTATATGAAATATGTCGTGTTTATGTCACTATGGCCCAGCACTGTTAAGATTTTGATTTCAAACTTACCTCGGACACGAAAATTCAGCCACTTATTTAAAAACACAGGTGGGGAAGACCTTTTCGTACCTTGGTCACGCTGTACGTCTAATTTTTATGGTCAAAATTTGACAGGTGAGTTCATGCGGAAAATTTATGCAGCATCTTGAAACTTGTTTACTTTGACAGCTGAAGCTGACAGAGTTTTGTGTCAACTTGTGATGTTTTTTTAATGTCTTTTTCCACTGGATGTACAAAATGAAATACAGCTGCTATCAAGGGTCTTCTGATATTCATGGCTGGTTTGTTTATTGGGTTTTTGGTTGAGAAATGCGTCGCTTGTCAATGTAGCCTCTGCTCGCAGGGTAGTCAAAGTTGGAAATCCTATTTCGGATGGCATCGTTTTAGGTTTTCACCTTGCTTGATACGTAAGAGGAGTTTAAAAGTCTGTAGAAAGGAAACCTTGAGCGATTTTCTTGTCTCGAGTTCATCTTTAAAAAAAGCAAACACTGGAAAGCCGGCTTAAAACATAAACTTAAAGACTCAGGATTTTTAGAGACACTTTAATACTTTTCTTCGTGAATGAAAATTGCTGTCTCTTTAAATGTCTCACCGAATTATATTTCTTTTATTCATTGTTAGAAGTCTCTTTTTTTGCAATTTTAATCACTGTGCCGTTTGTTTTCAGTCTTTCATGAACATCGCTTGCAGGAGTGCTCAAAATGTCGCACGTATCAAACGCTTTTCAAGATTGCACATCGTTATAAAGCCATTAAATAAAAAAATTAACATAATAAATTTGTTATTATGTTGAAGCGTAACTCTGTTAATGTTCATTCACACACTTGACCGCTTGTCAAAAGTGAGAACTGGCTGGCCGTATAGGTGATTTTGGAAATTTTTTGAACGGTTTTGCTAAAAGCCAACGGTTGATCGTCTTGAATATTGACTGAGTGCAATTTGTCTTGAAAAACAGTGAAATACTGCATTCTGTCCGAGGTCTGTATGATATAAATACAGTGCCTCATAGTACTCTTTCACCTCAAATGTGATGTATAAAAAGTATAAAAGGTTGGTTTACACACTTCCAGATTTGTTGGCAAGATTTTGTAAAGTTAACTTATCGAACGCAAAAGATTCGGCCTGATTTGTTTTCCAGGCCTAATCTACTGTGATCAAGAGCCGTTATGGCTCTTGAATGTGATGAAAGATGATTGCTATTCAGTTTTTGGGTGAACATATAAGTCAACTCCATGTGAGATGTTTCACTCTAAAATCACTTAGCTTTTCCCTCAAAAGCCACATGTATGTGACCTTAAGTTAACTGATTTGTGGATTACAAATTTATTGTTTGATTTAAATTATATATTTATTAATGGGAGCCTCGCTTTTTAGCCCTGGCTAAATCTATATATTAGTAATACAGCTTTCACTATATTGTCTGTATGAATGCTGTATTGTAAACCTTAATTACCATTATTTTAAAAGTGTGTTATTTTACAAACCACAAGGAACTCTCAAATCCAATTACATAGTCAACAAAATAATCAACTACCCATGTTGCCAGTTGATGGATTCTCTAGTTTGAAGGGTTTATGTAGAATTTTAGGTATGTAATCAGCCGGTTTATGATGTGGAACCACTTTTGCATGAGCGGGTGTCTTAAAAGTTTTCTAATTTTCCACATGTCCCTGACAGCACCACCTTTAAACTACTCCCTTCATACCTCTCACCGCCAGGCTGGAAAGGTTATGCTGGTAGCAACAAAACAAATAATCTGTATTTACCTAATTATGGTTCTTCATCTTTCCAAAGGTATCCTAACTGTAAAACCTTTAAATCAGAGCAACCTCAATGTCCTTTGAGTGTCAGCAGTGTGGCAAGTGTTTTAACAATGCAGGACACTTGATGGCTCATAAAAGATTCCACACTGGGGAAAAGCCATATGAATGTAAACAGTGTTGCAAGTGTTTCAGCCAAGCAGGACACCTAAAGAGCCATGAAAAAGTTCACACTGGTGAAAAGCCTTATGGATGTAAACAGTGTGGTAAGTGTTTTAGTGAAGCAGGAAACCTAACGACTCATAAAAGAGTTCACACTGGGGAAGAGCCTTATGAATGTAAACAGTGTGGCAAGTGTTTTAGTGAAGCAGGAAACCTAAGGAGACATGAAAGAGTTCACACTGGGGAAAAGCCTTATGAATGTAAACAGTGTGGCAAGTGTTTTAGTGTAGCAGGAAGCCTAAGGATACATGAAAGAGTTCACACTGGGGAAAAGCGTTTTGAATGTAAACAGTGTGGCAAGTGTTTTAGTGTTGCAGGAAACCTAAGGACTCATGAAAGAGTTCACACTGGGGAAAAACCTTACGAATGTAAACAGTGTGGCAAGTGCTTTAGTGTTGCAGTAAGCTTAAGGAATCATGAAAGAGTTCACACTGGGGAAAAGCCTTATGAATGTAAACAGTGTGATAAGTGTTTTAGTGAAGCAGGAAACCTAAGGAGACATGAAAGAATTCACACTGGCGAAAAGCCTTATCAATGTAAACAGTGTGGCAAGTGTTTTAGTGTAGCAGGAAGCCTGAGGAGACATGAAATAGTTCACACTGGGGAAAAGCGTTTTGAATGTAAACAGTGTGGCAAGTGTTTTAGCGAAGCAGGGAGCCGAAGGATACATGAAAGAGTTCACACTGGGGAAAAGCCATATGCATGTAAACAGTGTGGAAAGTGTTTTGGCCGAGCAGGACACCTAAGGACTCATGAAAGAGTTCACACTGGGGAAAAACCTTACGAATGTAAACAGTGTGGCAAGTGTTTTAGTGTTGCAGTAAGCTTAAGGACTCATGAAAGAGTTCACACTGGGGAAAAGCCTTATGAATGTAAACGGTGTGGGAAGTGTTTTAGTGATACAGGAAGCCTAAGGAGACATGAAAGGGTTCACACCGGGGAAAAACCTTACGAATGTAAACAGTGTGGCAAGTGTTTTAGCGAAGCAGGAAGCCTAAGGACTCATGAAAGAGTTCACACTGGGGAAAAGCCTTATGAATGTAAACAGTGTGGCAAGTGTTTTAACCAAGCAGGAAACCTGAGGAGTCATGAAAGATTCCACACTCAGGCAAGGTCACTTAAATTTTCCCAGAAAAACAAACGTCTTTCCAAACGATTGGAATCCTGTAAACAAAAAAGAGTAGGAAGTGAAAACGTTGATGTCAGGGCCACAGGCTTTACAGAGAACCAGCAGACACAGAGAGAAACCGGAAACACTGGTGTAACAGGTGCACGATCGGTCATTATTGAGAAACACAGCTGTTGGATTTGTCAAGAGGAGATGAGTAGTGAGGCTCTTCTTCTGCAACATTATGAAAATCATATGACCCATGTTTGTGACGATTATTCTTGAAGTTAAAAAAACGTTTTTTGGTGCTTTGACAATCTTTTTAAGTTCTCAACTCTAAAAGGTTTTGTTTAAAGCATGTTGCTTTCGTACTTGCGGTTTATTTGATGTATATGATTATCAAGTTGTAATAAACGATGAAAGAACAACTTCTGTATTGATTCTTTCATAAAGGAAAAACTCGATTTAAATCAAAGTCTTAGTGCCTCTTAGTTTAATCTGCTACACATCCGTTTTTAGTGTCGTCACGCAACGCTCCTCCCCACAAACGGCTTGTGGCTTGAAAAATATCCGCGCACTCTGATTTAAGCCCTGACCTAGACCTCTAAACACCCACAGAACACGTCATACCACGTTTCTTCTGGGGGGCAAGAGTCCAGTGTTTAGAGCTCAGTGGGGGCGGGGGGAGGGTACTCCGGAGTTTAAAGGTCAAATAAACGGAAATTTCGACATTTTTTATTTTAGTTCAATTCTAGTGAAATGTATTTAGTATGAACCAAACAAACATACTATGAAGTTTCAGCTCAGTAGAAGCAAGCATCTCCGAGATATTCGCAATAAAAAATTGCTGTTTTTTGGCCCTTATCTTCGTAGAGCGGTCGAAAAAATTGTCGGCAAAAACAGTTTGTGACGTCAATGTTGGTCAGGTGAAAAAAAGCGGGAAATTCAAAACAGTGTTTTTCGAGTCGACTTGGCGCAGAAATTATGGCGGTTTGTGCGGCCATAATCCTAGAAAGAACAAGTAATTTGTCTTCACAAGTTGCAAGCTGTGGTTATAATCTTATTACTTAATTTTCTGAATTTTCTCCAAGAATACATCATAGTAAAACGGACTTTAACGACATTAATTTCCTTGCGTTGTACTGGAAATGTGCGTGCGTAGGTCCGATTTTTTTCAAGATGCATTCTATTCACAAAATGTGTTCATATAAGGAAGTTCCTGGATACATAAGGTCCGGAGCTCCACTGTGGACACAAATACAAAATATCTTTGTATAATGATTTGCCCAAAGAAATTAGCGCTTGCCCACAATGTGTTTGAAGTCATTGAACTTTGTCACACTCGAACTGATATTTTAAAATCCACGCTCGATGGGACACTTGTAGCTTCGCAGATCACTAAAATATAAACAAAATCCTCAATGTAGAGTTTTGGCGTTGATATGTGGGCAGAAAAAGAGTTTTCTTATCTAGTAAAATCTTACCCAAAATCGGTTTCAAAGCAACTATAGTTTTTTAAACTTGATTGTTTCGCGCAGATAAATTTTGCTTTGTGTTGTCAAGTTGAACATGCATAACACCTGTCAAAAATCTCCGCGGAATGTAAGATTTCCTTCAAGCAAAGTTAAAGTTACATTATTGCAAAAACTTCTTTCCAGTTATGTATATGATTTAATTACCGATAGAGGTCACTTTAAGGACCCTGGTCGCCACTTTAAGCTCGCAAAGAGAGGCGACAACCAAAGAACAATTCCATCATGCATAAAATTCAGCTTAAGTGAACTAAAAAAAGCTTCAATAAGGTTGCAAAACAACACATGCTCATCAATTAAAACATAGGCTTAAGGCTCAACCAAACGAAACGAGGTTGACCATATTCCATGAGTATGGGGCTCTGTCCCTTGCGCGCTTTGCGCGGGAGCCGCGCTAAGAAGATTATAGCAAAACAAGTTTTACCATTTATCTCTGATTCTCCGCATTTTGTAAAATAAAATTAAAAGAATATTTAACCAAGAGTTTCTGTTAAGTCTAACACAAATACACTAAGGGACTTATAAGTCAAATCACACTTTTTCACGGAAGAAAATTAAAATGTACAGATTGGACATAGAATATTGAGTAAGTGAATGTGATCATATCCGTTGAAAAAATGGATAATTCACGAAAATCAGTTGGCTGACAAAAATACAAAAATCCATCGAGATAAAACTAAAGGTATAGAAATACCAGCTAAAAATTTTGAAAAATAAATCCATCATCTGAACGTCAAGAGTTTATCAAGTCAAGCTCCGTAAAGAAATGTTCAGATTTAGTTTCTCTTGCATACGCCGGATACTACTCCGTGCGCCTCGTTTTCGTTTAATTCATGCCTATCTGCATTCAGTATCAAACTGAAGTTAGTGGAGTCGAACTAATCTGTCTATGGCCTGCGTGGCAGGTGCTTGAAAGGGAAGAGAAAGGGTTTTTTTCGGCGCCCCCTCGCGTTTCTTTCGCGCTCAAAATCCCCTTTCCCTTCCCTTTCAAACGCCTGTCACGCAGGCTAATCTGTCTATTTTGGCGTATTTCGATGAGGGAGTAGCCGTCTGTCTGTGTATGGGCGGCGGCCGACAAACCATCTTTATTCTTTAGTGTCATGAAAACGACCAATTCGGCATTTTTGTCTTGCACTGTACTTGCTCCCGATATTGGTCCCGGCGTAACCACTTGAACTGCCGTTCGGTAATCCAACTTAATCGAACTCAATCGAAGGATAGGGTTCGATTAAGTTTGGTAATCGAACACAGTCGAACCCAAAAAATTCGTCAGAGTTCGATTTCCGCACTCAATTGAAGCAATCGAACTTCATTGAACGTTCTAATCTACACTCAGAATAGGCAAGAACAAAGCAACGAAACAACCAGATTATCTACGATCATGAAGAATAAATGTTCCGGGTTTATTGGATTCGCTTGATCGCTTTGTTTTACTGTAGCGCTGCTTAGTTTCCCTGGTCCACGTGGCAGATACAAAAGTGGAGGAGGTCTGAACCTAAAAGGGACGCTATAAAGTAAAAAAGTCTTTAACGGAGCATAATATTCACTGTGTGATTGAGGATAAAATTGCAATATGGCAGCAATAGTCTTGTTCTTCCCGGGTGTTCTTCTTCTTGCCAAAAATACACTATACTGTACACTGATCCGCCACAACCACTCCCGGAATATACTCAGTCGTAGGACACCCTACAAAAAACAAAACATTCGGGAAAACACGCGCAATTTTCTTTATAACGTCCTATTTTTTAATCGAATGAATGCCAACTTCGACCATCGAACCTAATCGAACTCAATCAAAGTTCGATTTAATTACTAATTTTTTTTCTGTAGTGTTCGATCACCGAACTTAATAAAACATTATCGGTCGATTAAGTTCGATTAAAAAACGTTCGCGGATTTAGTACGAGTGGTTACGCCAGGATTGCTAGAGGAAAAGTTTGAAAGGAGATTTCATCATCCTCTGACTTGTAGCAACCAGCTTGACATAACTTTTAGTACAACTGACAATCAGTCCATTGCCACTAAGAACCGTATTTATAAAATAATGGAATTCTCTTTGAAGGAAAAGAAACGCAGGAAAACACCAGAAGTCAAAGTTCAATCACAGAGTCAGATATGGATGCGTTTTGTTGTATTTTATTAGTAACAAGGGACCCTTTTTTATTGATCTGATCAAAGTCCGCGGTTTTTCACTTCATCCCCGCTCTCGACACCTGCCCCGGGCTTGGCCTTGCTTGCTTGAAAAACTCGAAAAAATACCTCATGGGGCTGTAGCCTACAGGAATATGGCAAACGAGAACAGCCCTCACTACCCCAAACGCGTTTCTTGTTGTCTATCCCTAACTTTCCATCGGAAAAACGATTTGCACATAGAAGGAAGAGAGGCTACATAAAAGTAAATGCACTAAAAGTACAGCAATTGAATTGCTTGAAACTACCGAACAAACAAACAAGTAAAAAAAACCTTAGCTCACATTCTTCTCCTAACCCTCCCAGCCATGTCATCCAGCTCACAATCTCCGACGATCTCCGACGATCATCCTCGACGGACCCCCGGCGGACCACCGGCGGGTTTTCGTACTCTCCCCAGGTTTCTCTCACTATTCAAAATTCAAATGGCGGCGGATGTGTGAATCTGTCAGGCCATTTCTTGGTTGCATTTTCCCTCGTGTGATTTAATCAAGGCGGAAATATCTTGTTACCTAAGGTAAGACAAGCTTTCAGTACATTAAGGATACGTTAGTCACACAGGTTACACAGGACAGTGCCGTCCTCTTGCGAAATCTTTCAATTGCAATGGTTTTTGAAGGTAATTTACATCATGATCGCATGGATCACTTGATTTAAACTGCGTTCAGCATTTAGTCAAGCCTATCTTCCCGACATGCAGCGTAACTGGGCCGATAAACAAATTTATTTCTGATCATTTTACACGCCCTGTAAGCTTCGGAAGTTGATCTAAAATGTGCGAACATAGACGTGTCCTTTACTGCACTTTGACTGAAAATAAAATAATGTTCTGTGGCGTAACTGTTCGTTATTCCACAGGTGGCCCAAGCGTAATATGAGAGTTTGTATGGGAAGAATAGAGTTTGAAACTTAGATGAAATAAATGAAGTAAAAGCGATAAAAGTTCTCAATAAAGTGTAAATATTGTTACCTAGAGTCGTTGTCTTTGCTTTTACGAAGTTTCAGCGCGATTTGAGTACTTTTACAGCATCTGACCTGACAGTGTAATAATAAGAGACAAGGTAGGACAGAATCGCTCGATCGATCTTCAAAGCTGCTCAGAATCAGCTCCAAATTTCACGCGAAAAAACAAACACACTTACATTTTACGCCGCCAAATCCACAAAGTGGTACGTTAAGATCACTTTCCTGCAATGCGTTCCGGTAAACTTTGCGTTTGGATCGCATAACTCGATCGAAAAGATCAACTACAGTTCAAAAATCGGCGCCATTTATCCGTGACTAGTAAAAGTGTAACATTTCAACCGTTTTGTCGCTCGGCGGTGACTGGGCGCTAACGTCAAATAATAACTCACCGGGAGAGGGTGACATTACTTCGTTAAGACAAATCTCTACGCACCCACCTCCGAGCCAACCTCAGAGCAAGGTTGGCTTCTCTGTTTTGTTTTGTTGCTTCGTTCATTGGCCGAGTAAAAACAAAGAAGCCGACCTTGCTCGGAGGTGGGTGAGTGGAGATTTGTCTTAACGAAGTAATGTCACCCTCTCCCGGTGAGTTATCATTTGACGTTAGCGCCCAGTCACCGCCGAGCGACAAAACGGTTGAAATGTTACACTTTTACTAGTCACGGATAAATGGCGCCGATTTTTGAACTGTAGTTGATCTTTTCGATCAAGTTATGCGATCCAAACGCAAGGTTTACCGGAACGCATTGCAGGAAAGTGATCTTAACGTACCACTTTGTGGATTTGGCGGCGTAAAATGTAAGTGTGTTTGTTTTTTCGCGTGAAATTTGGAGCTGATTCTGAGCAGCTTTGAAGATCGATCGAGCGATTCTGTCCTACCTTGTCTCTTATTATTACACTGTCAGGTCAGATGCTGTAAAAGTACTCAAATCGCACAGAAACTTCGTAAAAGCAAAGACAACGACTCCAGGTAACAATATTTACACTTAATTGAGAACTTCTATCGCTTTTACTTCATTTATTTCATCTAAGTTTCAAACTCTATTTTTCCCATACAAACTCTCATATTACGCTTCGCCAATAAGGAACAAACTGTGTCTTAACGAAGGTTTATTGAAGACCGAACGAGAACCGCATGGTATTACAAAGATGAGCCACGGGCGCATGCGCGCGCTAGATACCGCTGAAAGTAACGCAATAACAACGTAGTGGCGTGATTGCCTCCTCCTTCTCTCCTACCCTAACTAAGAAATAAAACATGAACAATAGGCTGAACTGATACGAGCACTAGACTAAAACCGCATAGGATAACAACGGCTAAAAGTAATGAAAGAGCTAGAATAAATATGAAACTGAATGTAACAGTGGGGTGTATTCCCCCTTATGATAAGGTACGAGTGAGCTAATAAAATACGCAGTTCATGGTAAAGACCGTAGTTACGGCTAGAGAGTACACGGCAGAGTTATTAGTCAAAGTCCCAGTCCTTATTGTGCCAAAATGGGGCTTTCCGCGAGCGGTCAGATTTCCTAGTGGGGATAACAGCAGCAGGCGTCGGCTGTGCATCATCAGTAAAAGAGGGGTCCAGGGGAGCTTGTGGAGGACTCCGAGAAGGCATAATGACTTCAGGAATTGGGGGGTGTTCCTGGGCGGGTAGCTGAGAATGAGCTGGAGACACTGAGTGGTGTACCGGAACAGTATAGGTATCCACTGGTGGAGAAGCAAGCACTGTAGGGGGTCTGAGTGAAGGGACGACGGGAACAGGATCATCGTCAGAGTCAGAAGCAGTGGATTCGGTCTGGCCACGGATGGGTCCTTGTGGAGTCTGAGCTAGGACAGTTGGGGTGACAGGGTAGCAGTCACACATAGGAATGGTGTAGACCTTACTGCGGAACTGTGAGCTGGTAAACTTGCGGAGCTGACAGAAAAGGTCTTTATCGATGCCGATCACAAGATACTTGTCGCGGGCTTTCAGTTTGTCTTTGTCACCTTTGATGAAAACAAGGTCACCAACAAGGACAGTGGGGATGGAGGCTTTGGTAAAGCCATGGGCCTTGGACTTAGCACTCGGCATGTGATTCTGCTGGCGGGAAAAGTTTTGACTGAGGATAATCTGGCGGTCGACAATTGGAAGCTGCGCACCAGTGAGCTGGTCGCGTTGCGTCCACAACTCAAGAGCTGAGAGGCCATCACGGCGGATGCGGGAGTTCATATTGGCCGTTGCTAAGGACAGCGTAGTTTGAGAGACGGGGCCTCCCTCAGGAGACAAGTTGAGGATCTCCAAGCCTAGCTCTTCGATTGCGCGCTCAGCCACAGGATTCTTGTTAGGGTTTTTGGGCCTACCAACCTCCAGGGTGATCCCATAAGAGAGGAGTACTCTGTCTTTGGCAAGGGCGGAGAAGCCAGGGCAGGATCAACGCGGACGATCACCCTCCGTCGCGAAGGGAACGGAGCTGAGAGCAGAGCATGATGATGGCATTGCGGAGGTCTTCGAGTTTTTCACTCGCGATGAAGGAAGACACGGTGTACGAAGACACTGTTTCCCTGAGAACCATGATCAGTTGACGATGACGCTTAGCGACATCAGCTGCAAATGATACGCCAATGGTAGGAGGAGCAGCGGCAGATGACTGCGGGTGCAGGTGTTTAGGGATAGTCTTCAGAGATTGACAGGTGTGACAGCAGGAAGAGACAGTCTCAATTGCTTTGTCAAGGTCCAGAGCAAAGAAGTACCTGCTAAAAAGGCGCTTGGTTTGGTACTTGGAAGGATGACTGAAACGGATGTGAAGGGCTGTCAGGAGTCCATCAAGAACAGTGCGAGGGACAACAATGCGATCGCGAGGGGGCTGGAAAGGCGGGTGGTCTTTGACAACGAGAAGACCATCAGTGGCGATGACGACGTCCTGAAGATAGCGTTTGACATCAATTATTTTGGTAGCCTTCTTTGAAGGTCGGGTACCTTGACTGAGGTGAGAATGGGTTCGCCGGAGGTGAGGGCATTCCAGCTGGGTAGCTTGCCATGCGGCGCGGCTGGTGAAGGGCATTCGAACAGAACCCTCTAGGACTTCGCTCACGGAGATGCTGCGCACAACAGAATCTTCCAACTCCGCAATAAAGCGACAAATCTGACAGCTGGAGTCCAAGCATTCTCTTGGGTGCCTGCTGGCGAAGTCTGAGGGAGGTTTTCAACACCTGCAATGTGGCGCACATGGACAGAATAGCGGCTGACTGTAGACAGGAAGGTGGTAACTCTGGAGCTGGCTGAGAACTCTCCTCTCCTAAGCTTATCGTAGGCTTGGACACAAGGCCTACTGTCCGTCAGAACTTCGGTTGTATGGGATGACTGGATAATGTAAGGGGCGAAGTGCTTGATGGAGGAAGCTATGGCCAGAGCTTCGATCTCACACGGTAGCCAGGTCACTTGATGCTTTCGCAGTTTCGCGCTGAAAAAACCAGCCAACAGCAGTTTACCGTTCCGGTGGGTGTAGAGTGTGGCTGCGACGCCTCTATTCTTCACAGAACCATCTGTCACGATCCACAAAGCGTCGCGGGGTTGGGGGATTGTGATGGTCTTGTGGTTTTCCAAGGCATGTTGGGCGGACTTGAAAGACAGGAGTAACTCATCGGACCACACTAGTCTTTCTCGAGATTCCTTTCCAGCGGTGGCCTGATCCAAGGGGTCCAGCAATTCAGCGAACTTAGGGGAGTACTCGGCTGAGCACCTTGTATGCACCAACGAAAGATCGTAGGCCTTGAACAGTAGTAGGAGGGTCAACAGAGGATAATGCGGCTAACTTGTGGGGGCTAGCCTGTAGGGTGCCATTAGACCATACCCAACCCAACACGGTGGCCTTTCTGGGACAGATGAGTGTTTTGGGCGCGGAGAGACGAAGATTGTTGCGTTGAAGCAAGGAAAGAACGCGCCGCCAATTATGAAGGACATCTGTAGGGTTGCTTCCACCAACGTACAGGTCATCAGCAATTTTGGCAACACAACCCTCTTGAATTAGGTCACCCAGAACTCGAGACATTAGCTCCTCGAGGCATGTTTCCGACCCAGGCATGCCCATAGCAGAGCGGGTATAAACACGGATGCCTTTAAAGGGTGTGGCTACCCCACAGTACTTCATGGAAGAGTGAGCCAGTGGAATTTGATAGAACGACTTTAACAAGTCCGAGATAACTATATACTCCCACTTCCCAATGTCACGCAGTACACCATCGACGTTAGGCATTAGAGAAGGCTGGGGCTTGCTATACTGGGCAACTTCGCCGAAGGATGTCACAAGTCTGCTACCCCCATTGGGTTTCTTAACAAGGAAGGAGGTATTCAAGTACTCAACGTGTACGTTCACCTGTTCAGGTCTGGCAAACACACCAGCCACTTCGAGCTCGTCAAATTTGGCTTGCAATTCCTCAAGGGTGCTTCTGTTGTACTGTGGGAGTCTGCCTTTACGCTGAGGCGGGAGTGTGGGACCAATGTTGACAACAGCTTCAATGGTACCGCTAGCGCCGTTATATTTCGAGATAGTGGGGTTGAAAACATCATCAAACTCCAGATTCAGTGTTCTGAACTTGTCGCGAATGTCCTCGTCTAAGCAGCCATCGGGGTCAAGGATCACATTAGTGGAGAAGGGCTGGCAGCAGGTAGGGGCAGTAGTGGCCGTAGAGGTAGGGGCAGATGTGGTGTCTATGCTGTCAACAGGTATAACATGCCTTACATGACACAGCTGCTCGCCGGTCCGTAGAAGTATGGGAGAGTCAGTCGTATTGGTTATGCGTACAGCGTGGTCCACAGAGAGGACTTGTTGAGGTGGGGGCCATGCTCCTTCTGCCTTGAGGGGGGTGTTGGATGGACAGTCTAGTCGGGGTTCAAGGGCCCATAATGTATCTGGGTCAGAATCACAAGGGGTGTCAAGCTGAACGTACTCTCCTGGCAGTATGACTGTGCGTTGCGGGTTGCGTAGGAGAAAGGACTGGGTGCGTCGCACAGCTGGTTGAGTAGTGTGTTTGGAAGCAGTACCATAGTGGATTACGTCAGACCCGCCGATTACAATTTGGCGCCTGGCAGGACGGATGCCGATGTCGTTTCGGGCCAGGAAGGGGTTTCCCGCTAAAATGTCAACATCGAGTTGGCGAACAACTAGGGCGTCTAGTTCAAATGCTTGCTGTCCACGAGTGAGAGTGCAATGCACTTCACCCACCACATCCATAGGGGTAACTCCATCGGCTTGGCGGGCCATCTGAGAAGCTGGGGTAACAGGTAGGCCATATAACTGAGCGGCCGAGGCACGAACCATGTTAGACGTGGCGCCAGTATCAAGGGTGAGCTGCACGGGGTGCTCGTGGTAAAAGGTGTTGAGAACAGGTGATTGAATGATGCTGACACGGAGTGCAGTAGGTGCAGTAGGTACATCACTGTGCTCAGGCGGGAGGGCATGATCGCAACACTCGTCATAGGGGCCACAGTCGCCGGTCGCAAACTCATCAGGATCGTCGTTTATAAGACGTGAGCGGGCCAATGGTCGCCTGTCACGATCAGGCAGGTAACGGCACTCCATTAGATCATGGGTGTTGTGAGGGCGTCCAGCGGTTTTGCAGAGAATACAAGATACAAATGGACGGCGGCGTGGTTGGCCCTGTCCGCCATTAGAGGTGCGTCTGGGGTTGACATTGCTAATACGCATGGCTTTGGTGTCCTCTATGGAGCGTAGTTCATCAAGGAGGGAACTAAGAGCTTGTGAGATCTCTGGCTTGAGTGAGGCAAGGGTCTTGTTACGCAACTCAGAACCATACTTCTGCTTTACCAGCAATGGTAGGCCAGGGTGGATCAGCTGCAGCCACAGAACTACTATAGTGTTCTCAAGCGATGGGGAAAGATCTTCATCTGCGGTCACCTGCTCACCGTGGTGGGTTAAGCCACCATTAACTGCAAGGAGGTTGTCTTCGAAGAAGGCCATGAGGCGTTGGAATAAGTCCTCTGGTCGCTCAGCAGTTTGAAGGCTGATGCTTGCAAGGTCGAGGAAATGGGCTCCGGAGGACTGGAACCCAAAATGCTGGCGAATTTTCTGCCAAATGTCATTCAGAGAGGAAGAGTGCTTTACTATGGAGTTCCTGGAGATCACGGGGCAAAAATTGGCAATCTGTCCGAGCAGAAGATCCAGGTGGGCATTTTTCTGAGCGGCAGTAAGTCGTTGTGCCTCAGGTACAGACGTGCCATCATTCGTAAAAGGCCTCTTCGAGGGTTGGCGGCGGTTTGTTTTGCCATGTGGCCTCTAAAAATGGGACAAAGTTCTTGTCCAGGGATAAGATGTAGACTAAGTTTTGCCTCCAACTTTCGTACGAGGTGATGGTCTCGTTTTTCGTAAGCTGCCATTGTTTAGGCGCCCTGGGAGCGGCGGCCATGTTGGTTTTCCTACACGAGCGGTTACGGCGAATTCACGTTGATTTGTTGATCTTCGCACTTCGGGAAAATAAGGGTCACAGGTTCCAGACGACCACACTTGTGTTAGGGTCCACCGTACGTGGGTAAAAGCCGCTGCCACCACGCCGATAAGGAACAAACTGTGTCTTAACGAAGGTTTATTGAAGACCGAACGAGAACCGCATGGTATTACAAAGATGAGCCACGGGCGCATGCGCGCGCTAGATACCGCTGAAAGTAACGCAATAACAACGTAGTGGCGCTTGGGCCACCTGTGGTTATTCTAAGGGCATCTCTTACTTTAAACAAGACAGCAGATTTTATTCCATGTAATTTTCTGATCAACTCTCTACTATAATATATAATGAGCCTTAATTACCATTATTTTAGAAGTGTGTTATTTTACAAACCACAAGGAACTCTCAGATGCAAATACAAAGTCAACAAATAATCAACTGACCCATGTTGGTGGATTCTGTAGTTTAAAGGGTTCATTTAAAATTTTAGGTATTTAATCAGCTGGTTTATTGTGTGGAACCACTTTTTCATGAGCAGGTGTCTTAAAAGTTTTCTAATTTTCCACATGTCCCTGACAACACCACCTTTAACCTACTCACTTCAGGCCTCTCACCATCTTGTCGAAAAGTTTATGCTGGCAGTAACAAAACAAATAATGTGTATTTACCTATTTATGGTTCTTCATCTTTCCAAAGGTGTCCTAACTGTAAAAGCTTAAAAGAAGAGCAACCTCAATGTCCTTTGAGTGTCAGCAGTGTGGCAAGTGTTTTAACAATGCAGGACACTTTAGAGCTCATAAAAGACTCCACACTGGGGAAAAGCCTTATGAATGTAAACGGTGTGGTAAGTGTTTTAGCGAAGCAGGAAACCTAAGGACTCATGAAAGAGTTCACACTGGGGAAAAGCCTTATGAATGTAAACAGTGTGGCAAGTGTTTTGGTCAAGCAGGAAACCTAAGGAAACATGAAAGAGTTCACACTGGGGAAAAGCCATATGAATGTAAACAGTGTGGCAAGTGTTTTAGTGTAGCAGGAAGCCTAAAGACTCATGAAAGAGTTCACACTGGGGAAAAGCCATATGAATGTAAACAGTGTGGCAAGTGCTTTAGCGAAGCAGGAAACTTAAGGATACATGAAAGAGTTCACACTGGGGAAAAGCCTTTTGAATGTAAACAGTGTGGTAAGTGTTTTAGTGTAGCAGGACACCTAACGACTCATGAAAGAGTTCACACTGGGGAAAAGCCTTACGAATGTAAACAGTGTGGCAAGTGTTTTAGTGTTGCAGTAAACCTAAAGACTCATGGAAGAGTTCACACTGGGGAAAAGCCATATGAATGTAAACAGTGTGGCAAGTGTTTTAGTGAAACAGGAAGCCTAAGGAGACATGAAAGAGTTCACACCGGGGACAAACCTTACGAATGTAACCAGTGTGGCAAATGTTTTAGTGAAGCAGGAAGCCTAAGGACTCACAAAAGAGTTCACACTGGTGAAAAGCCTTACGAATGTAAACAGTGTGGCAAGTATTTTAACCAAGCAGGAAACCTCAGGAGTCATGAAAGATTCCACACTCAGGAAAGGTCACTTAAATTTTCCCAGAAAAACAAACGTCTGTCCTATCGTTTGGAATCCTGTAAACGGAAGAGAGCAGGAAGTGAAAACGTTGATGTCAGGGCCACAGGCTTTACAGAGAACCAGCAGACACAGAGAGACACCGGAAACACTGGTGTGACAGATGCACGATCGGTCATTATTGAGAAACACAGCTGTTGGATTTGTCAAGAGGAGATGAGTAGTGAGGCTCTTCTTCTTCAACATTATGAAAATCATATGACCCATGTTTGTGACGATTATTCTTGAAGTTAAAAAAACGTTTTGGTCCTTTTAAGTTCTTCTCTTTTGTTAGTTTTTTTTTCGTGCTTTGGCAACATTTTTAATTTTTGCAACTCTTTAAGTTTCAATTGGTTTTTTTAGAGCATCTTGCTTTTATACTTGTGGTTCATTTGATGTGCATGATTGTCAAGTTGGAATAAACGATGAAGGGACAACTTCTGCATTAATTCTTCCATAAAGGAAAAACTCGATTTAAATCAAAGTCTTAGTGCCTCTTAGTTTAGTCTGCTACAGAGCCGTTTTTAGTGTCGTCACGCAACGCTCCTTCCCACAAACGGTTTGTGGGAGGAGCGTTGCGTGACGACACTAAAACCGGCTGTGGAGCAGACTACTCATAATTTTAATGCGCCTATCAATGTAAATCCCGTCGGGGGGAGTGCGGGGAAGGGGAGGGGATTTGATGCCTGGGACTATCCCCGCTGTCGGGCTTTTGATCGTGCGAAGGGACCCCGGGGTCGGGACATTTGACTTTGACCGACAGAAGCCTGGTATCAATTCAGAAGCAGTTACCAAGTCCGTCCCTCGAGGCTTCCTGAAAGTCACGTTGTTGGAGAAAGGTATGAAGTTTTCATTTGTTTTAATCGCCATAATCCGATAGTTTAAACTGTCATCTAAACAGATAATGTCTATTTTGAGGAAGTTTTTATCTTCAAGTTCCCATCTGATTGTAAAACTCGATTGAAATCGAATTCCACCATGAAAGTCAGAGGATTTTTGATGGGTCACTGATCCGACCTGTTCCGACATGTTGAGCAGATGTTATAAAGCATTTTACGTTTTATTAATATTATATAGCATGGTCAATCTTCCTGGAGTGATTTTGTTGTTCAAGATAAGAGATGCTAGTGGAGAGAGAAAATACTTAATTACAGCGAGTAATTTAATGGCGCTTCCGTTAACCGTAAATAAAAGTAGTAACAACGTGTTTGAAATGTTCTCTTATTCGTTTTATATAGTATTATAGCATTGTTTGTTTAGATTTTTTCCCCTGGGGTGGGGGCTTTTTTGACACTTTTGATTGACCTTTCGTTTCCCACCCTGGGGAATTTGATCGAAAAATTTTAAAATTTGTCAAATCCCCACCCCTTGCCCGCACCCCCACGGGGTTTACATTGATAGGTGCATAAGCTTTACATTTGAACGTGACCACTTATAGAAGACTATAACTTCTCATTATATGAATGGAAAGAAACGTTTTCTTTACAATGTAAAAAAGGCTTCCTTACTTTCATCCAGAAATTCCATACTGATGACGTAAAATCTGTCCGGTATCCAGTCAGAAGCGCTGATCGGTCGACGGAGTAATTACATTGTTTAAGGTATTGTTTACAAATGACAGACAAAAGACAAAAGGCCACAAAGGTCAAATGTAAACGCGAAGAATCCCTAACAAAATAGTCAATATTTGTGAAATATAGTCTTCTCTAGAAGAAGAATTTGAGTTTTGCTGGAGCTCGTTGACAGATAAGCACAACACTTTACCAAAATCGACCAGAAGACACGTAAAATTAGACAAATTTGTATTTGGAACTTCATGACTACCGGTTTATTATGTAAACATCAATTTGTGTCTTCAGTATGGAATTTCTGTCGCTGAGTTGCAGACGTTCCTCTGCGCGAAACGTCCCCAGCGGCGAAGAGCGAGGAGAAACGGATGTTTTGGCAGGCTATGAAAGACATCGAATTACAAAGATGGTTAAGTGACGTAAACAATGACGTAAGAAAAGACGCCAACCAAAAGAACAAACTAAGAACCTTCCGAAAATGTAAAACAGTAGAAAATTGTAAATGTGAAGATTATCTCCGTCAGGTCACCAACTTTCGACACCGGATAACCCTAACTAAACTCCGTCTAAGTAATCACAAATTGGCGATAGAGACAGGTCGGTATGTAAGACCTTATAAGAAACCGGAAGAGAGGATCTGTCCTATCTGTAAAAAAGACGTAGAAGATGAAATACACTTTTTAACTCTGTGAGCCGCGTATCAAGAAAAAAGAAGTACTTTCTTTGAATACTTAAACAAAGAATACAGAATATCAGTAAACAGAATGGCACCAGATGATGTTTTTTTGTTGTTAATAAACCCTCCGAGCAAGAACAAACCAGTCCTAAAGTTAATTGCAAAATACGTATTCGACTGCTATGAGAAAAGAAGATCATTAGTTCTTTAGGTTAACATTGACTATAGTTCCACTAGTGTGTAATTTGTGTTATGATTTTAAATTATTTGGATAAAGTCGATGTACATAGGACTGTGTAAGACTCCAAATAAAGCATTGTCTTGTCTTGTTTAAAGCCCAGTGGGGGACGGGGAGGGGGATACTCCGGAGTTCAAGTGACAGAGATGATCAAATGGGGGAAAAAATCAAAACCCCCCAAAATCCCTAGGGCCTTAAACAAAACCCAAAGAACTTCCTGGACCAAAATTTAACCAGCAAAAAAATCCCGTGCTGAGCCATAAAAATTTTTTTAGGGAGCGTTAAATGATACAACTATCATGAATCTTCCGATTGTTTTGAATACCCAAAACAATCCCTACTTAAATCAAGCTGCCCAATAAATACTTGCTAAAGTTTGCAACCCAAACAAATCCCGAAATCGAACATTTAAAACCGAAACAAATCCTTTGATCATCCCTGTCACTTGAAATCCGTATCCCCGCCCCCTGCTGGGGTTTAGAGCGCGCTTCTCAGCACTTGAGAATTTGTAATTGTCTTCTGAATGTTCTTGAATCAAATTCCAGATAGTTTTAAGTTGACAAGTGGCAAAGTGGCAACAGCATGAACTTCACTAGTTAAAGAGCAACGTTTCTTTCCACTTCTCCACCGTGAAGAGAAGACGCTGAATTTAGGGGAAAGTGTTGCAATTGAGAAGTAGATCAGAGCAGCAGGCAGCTACTGTATGGATCAATCCAGTTATTTCAAATGTTTGTTCCTGCTAGCACGAAAATTCAAACAGTCTGGATTTTTTTGGACGCGAACTGTCCGGATATTAGGGTGTGATAGCCAAGATAAGACAATTTTGAAATCGTTTTGAAATTTTGATTTTAACACAATTACTTTTGAAAATGAGCCATAGTTTACGTTAGGTTTATAGAAAAAAAGCTTTGGTTTACGATGTTTATCACCGCCTCTCGCCGCCTGGTATGATGACCTAAGAAGATTATAGCAAAACAAGTTTTACCAGTTTTCTCTGATTCTCTGCATTTTGTAAAATAAAATTAAAATAATTTTTAACCAATAGTTTCTGTTAGTACCTGTTAAGTCTAAACACAAATATACTGAGCATCGGCGTACGGGAAAAATTTGGTTGCGGGGGCTGAACATAATTTGCCCGAATGAAACTTGTTGGTCACATATGCACAAGATGATTTTTTCGTGACGTCAAGTTTTCTTCGCCGTGCCGTGAGAGTACGGGCGTTCAAAATAGTGCAAATATTTCGGTAAATCGAGATGAACATTTCTAAAATACAAAACCATGAAGTGAGAGATAAAACGTACCAATTTGAACTCTAAAAGAAGTATGAAGAACGATTACTTCGACACCCAAATGTGTCAATAATCCTTTGCATGTCACTCTGCATTGTCTTGTTTGCATACTGTCTTTCAATGTTAATAACGGCGATACTGCGAAGTTGGTCTTGTCCCATTGTGGATCTTAAAAATGTCTTGATGCGGCGAAGGGCGCTGAAAGACCTTTCAGCAGAGCACGAGGTTGCAGGAATTGTGGCCAGGATGGAGATAACTTTATATAGAACAGGTAAAATGTAATGGAGACCATTTTGATGCATGGTCTTTACCATCACGGCTGCGTTTTTTCTCTGGCATGGGCCCCCGCAGTCGTAGTTTTCAAAGATTGACTTCTCACTTGATAGCATTTCACTATCCACGCCATAGAAATTTCATGCAGTTTGGATGTTGTTGATGCTTGGAGAACGGCTGAATACGATTTCACCCAATGCGCACAAAACCTCCAGGTCATTGCCCTCAAGCCTTGATTGAAGTTCACTGACGACTTTGTCAATACATGTGTAATAAACTGTGATACGAAAGTGGTCTTTTGCCGTCTGTTGTGAGCTGTCGTTCGCTGCAGCAGGTGTCTCACCTTACTGTGTCTTTGCCCGAACGGTACATCAGTTTTGCCCGAATAATACTATTTTTTTCCCGACAGGGGGCGCTGCAGCCCCCCCCCAGCCCCCCCAGCCCCCCCGCCCCGTACGCTGATGATACTGAGGGACTTATGAGTCAATTCACAATTTAGCCACGGAAAGAAAATTAAAATGTACAGATTGGACATAGGATATTAAAAACCTGAATGTGATCATACCCGCTGGAAAAATGGCTAATTCAAGAAAATCAGTTAGCTTAAAAAGATACAAAAATCCATTGAGATAAAAAAAGCTCTAGAAATACCAGCTAAAATTTTTTAACAATATATCCATCTTCCGAACGTCAAGAGTTTGTCAAGCCAAGCTCGTTAAAGAACTGTTCAGATTTAGTTTCTCTTACATACCCTGGATACTACTTCGTGCGCCTCGTTTTTTTTAATTCTAGCCTATGTAAGCTGGATTTGTCTGCATACAGTATCAAACTGAAGTTACTGGAGTCGAACTCTGAATCCGTCTATGGCCCGCGTGGCAGGCGCTTGAAAGGGAAGGGAAAGTGAGTGTTTTGGGGCGGTCCCCTCGCGTTTGTTTCGCGCTCAAAACCCCCTTTCAGTTCCCTTTCAAACGCCTGCCACGAACCTAATCGAACTCACTCAAAGTTCGATTTAATTACTTTTTTTTCTGTGAGAGTTCGATTTTTTTCGATCACCGAACTTAATCGAACATTATCGGTCGATTAAGTTCGATTAAAAAAACGTTCGCGGATTTACTTCAAGTGGTTACGCCGGGATTGGTAGAGGAAAAGTTTGAAAGCAGATTTCATCATCCTCTGACTTGTAGCAACCAGCTTAACATAACTTTTAGTACAACTGACAATCAGTCCATTGTCACTGAGAACCGTATTTATAAAATAATGGAATTCTCTTTGAAGGACAAGAAACGCGGGAAAACACCAGAAGTCAAAGTTCAATCACAGAGTCAGCTCTGGCTGCGTTTTGTTGTATTTTGTTAGTAACCGGGGACCGTTTTTCATTGATCTGATCAAAGTCCGTGGTTTTCACTTCACCCCGGTGTTCCACACCCACCTTTCGCTTGGCCTTGCTCGCTTGAAAAACTCGAAAAAATAACTCATGGGGCTGCAGCCTACAGGAATATGGCCAACGAAAACAGCTCTCACTACACCAAACACGTTTCTTGTTGTCTATCCCTAACCTTCCATCAGAAAAACGATTTGCACATAGAAGGAAGAGAGGCTACATAAAAGTAAATGCGCTAAAAGTACAGCAATTGAATTCCTTGAAACTACCAAACAAACAAACAAGTAAAAAAAACAACCTTAGCTCACGTTCTTCTCCTAACCATCCGGCTCACAATCTCCGACAATCTCCAACAACCTCCGACGATCTCCGACAATCATCCTCGAAGGACCCTCGGCGGACCGCCGGCGTGTTTTTGTACTCTCCCCAGGTTTCTCTCACAATTCAAAATCAAGATGGCGGCGGATGTGTGAATCTGTGAATCCTCCAGACAGGCCATTTCTTGGTTGCATTTTCCCTCGTGTAATTTGATCAAGGCGGAAATATCTTGTTACTTAAGGTAAGACAAGCTTTCAGTACATTAAGAATACGTTAGTCACACAGGTTACACAGGACATTGCCGTCCTCTTGCGAAATCTTTCAGTGACACTGCAATGGTTTTTGAAGGTGATATAGATCATGATCGCATCGATCACTTGATATAAAATGCACTCGGTATTTAGTCAAGCATATAATTCCGATTGTAGCGTAACTGGGCCGATAAACCAATTTATTTCTGATCATTTTACACGCCCTGCTGTAAGCTTCGGAAGTTGATCTAAAATGTGCGAACATAGAAGTGTCCTTTACTGCACTTTGACTGAAAATAAAATAATGTTCTATGGAGTAACTGTTCGTTCTGCTAAGGGCATCTCTTACTTTATACAAAACAGCAGATTTTATCCCGTGTTATTTTCTGATCAACTCTCCACTGTAATATATATCTCTTAGTAGCGTATGCAACATCACTCCTTCCAGCGTGAGTGATTTTTATCTCATCTCACAACAAATCAAGTGACTTCGCTTCAGGTGTAGGAAACTACAATCGCCAACAAAATTATTGAGGCATTTTACTCAACTAGGGTAATAAGTACAGAGAAGAAAAGAATCTACCTCCCTCCCCACTCGCCTTCATTCAAAGTTGCAGTTTTTGTTGCTTTAACTGTAGGTAGCTCGAACAGCGGCACAACATTGCATGGAGGGGATGGGGGAGGGAAAGCTTTATTTCCCATTTAGAAGTCAGTAAAGCATAGGCTTTAGGGTAAGGTGTCTCAACTACGTTGTAATTTTGTCACCAATGGTAGCTGTAGATTGTAGCAAAACACACTTACCTCCACTTAAGGAAAGGATAAGAAAAATAGAGCAGTTTATTGAATGTTGATTAATTATGCAAAAATCGTAATTGAATATGATTTATGGGCAAATGTTCCTTTTTTTCACTCTAATGAATGGATCTTTGCGCTATTGATTGCCGTTTCATGCAATTAAATACATATTTTCTCGTAATAAACAGCAAAAGGTGTAATTCTCATAAACTTTTCTTTTGATGATGCATGGATATCGTTAGGAGAAAATTAATGTTGGTCACTATTGGGACTTAAAGCGAAATTTGTTGTATCCCGCTGTGCATTTTGCATATTTTGGGTTTTTGTGTTCCCTCAATCATCTTAGCGGACCTCTTAGGAAATTTATATTTACTTGCACGAGTTCAAAAGGTCATGGTTTGTCATTTGTGATTAGTGGATCTCGATCTGTTTTGTTTGTTTCCTATTACAAGGCCTGTTGCTTTGTGATCATCCTGTTTTGGGCAATAATCGACTAGTTAAGTTTGCTTCGCAAATTTTTATGATCTTTCTCAATCTTGTCACTTGCAAGAATAAAGCAATATCTGTGTCCTTCCTTCTACAAAAAATCCACTCACCATCGCGATTTCCTTCACTATTCTTGAGCAGTCGGAGTCATTCTCAGCCAAGCTGGGCGAACACATTACAGTGTGATTTGCTTTAACCTCGCCTCACTAAAATGCATGATTGACGGAACAGAGAAACCCAAAATCCGTTCTAAGTTTGCAAAATGTGCAGTGCAATACAACAAATTACCCTGTAAAGGGTTAACAAAGTGTCTATGTCTATGTCTATGTCTAAATGATCTTGAATAACCGCCATGAAGATTTTCAAAAACTGATATGTTTTTGCAAGCCTTTCAAGAGTTTCCACAAAACATACAGCAAAAAATAGGGAGGCGTAGATAACGCTGAATAAATGATAAAAGAAACCTCTAATTGTACCATTTGTGTTCGTAGCAAGATAGAAAACACTACAAACTTGCAAAATTAAAAATAGCATACTTTTTGTCATGTGTAATTTGAAATCTCTTTCTTTTCCATGCATCACGACTTTGTATCATTTTACTATATGCAATAGTGACCTAACATTTCTAATGCTGGGGAAAAGGTCTTGATTTTATTATTGACAGTTTTTCTAAGGCTATGAAATTCATTTGACTCCATTTTGAGACAAGCAACTTGAACTACAGTCTGCAGCAAGACAAGTGCTTGTTTGTTTACGTTTTATTGGTGGAAATATTTTTTTCCTATGGCTCATGACCAAACATTTTCTGTTTTTGCTTCAAAAGTGCAGAATGAGAGGGGAATTTTGTTGTTAATTTAACAGAAGTTATCCTGAGAATTATGATTTTCATGCACCCGTTCAGGCTTTTTGTTTCAAATTTTGGATGTCCATAAGTAAATTGTAGGAGCCTCTGGTGACCAGGCCCCCATTAGGCAGTAGCCTTGACACTGCCTAGTGCAAAGCATGTAAACACATACCTTGACAAGTATAAAAACAGTTTTGATAGTTCAAAAGTTAGACTTCATACAAAAATACTGAGTCAATTTTCCAAACTTTAAGATAAACCTTTCGTTGTTCCTTTTTTTTAACTTTGCATATGCAACTGTACATGCAAGTGCTCTTGGCTTTACCATTTGTTGTTTTTGCGAATGGTTGTTTTTATTTTTCTTGAGAAATAGCCTGCAGTGCAGGCGTTTTCTTTGAACGCCCAATTTGCTCGTGAAAGCGCCACGTTGAAACTTCCCAAGGAGAGGAGGAGATGGGGCGAGTCAAAGGGAGCAGGGAGGGGGTGGCGCATCCTCGGAGACCCAGGGGCAGATAAAGGGGGCGAAGGAAATTCTAAACGGGCGGAAAAATATATATGGAACAATGAAAAGTAAAGAACGGCGAGAAGAGCCCCTGGGGAAAATGTCTTACCAGACCAGTTCCAAATGGTCGCTGCTTTTCTGGCTTCTGATTGGTGCCAGAAAACCAATCAGAAGCCAGAAGCCACCTACAGACTAAGAACAAGGGTGGCCACTGGACTCTTACCAAGAGTAAGAGAATTAGCCAATTCCTAGAATAAACCCTGTTACTCTTTAGCCCAAATAAATGAGTGATAGGTGCTATAACCCCTTAAGCTTCAAGATCAAGATGGAAATCCTCCACACTGGCCTCCATACAGTTCTTGAAAAATTGGTTGAGAGAATTTGTTTAAAGATCAAAGCATATTTCGTTTAAGTGATCATTTTATTAATTCTCATAACCTTTCTACTTGATTATATAGTGATGTTGTTTAAGGAAAATTGATGTTGATCACTCCTGGGACTTAAAGGGATAAGTAAATCCCGACTGTAACACTTCATGTGGACTGATCTTGTATGGAAGTTGCGATTTATTTTTGATCTTCCAATTTCATGTGCTTGAGTGTTTCCACTTTCCATTCTAGTGTTATTACGAAGAATCAATTATTGATACCATTTTCTGGCTGTTGTTAGGTTGTTTGTTTGTTCCTGGTCCAAAACAGGAAGTAGGAAACCATTACTTTAGTCTGTTCCTTCCCCTTCCTTTTTCGTGTTTATTGTTGCATTTCACAGCAAATTAAATAACCCTGCTCCCTCTCAAATAATCCTCCCTCTCTGTTAAGCTCCCCCCATCAAACATGCTTGAAATGAAAAGGCCCCCAGGGAGTTTAATAGCGGATTTATAGTACAGGCTTTAATACAGGTTTCACTATATTGTCAGTATGAATGCTGTATGATGAACCATACTTACCATTATTTTTAAAGTGTGTTATTTTACAAACCACTAGGAACTCTCAGATCCAAATACAAAGTCAACAAATAATCAACTGACCCATGTTGATGGATTCTCCAGTTTGAAGGGTTCATGTAAAATTTTAGGTATCTAATCAGCTGGTTTATTGTGTGGAACCACTTTTTCATGAGCAGGTGTCTTAAAAGTTTTCCAATTTTCCACGTGTCCTTGACAACACCACCTTTAACCTACTCACTTCAGGCCTCTCACCATCTTGTCGAAAAGTTTATGCTGGCAGTAACAAAGCAAATAATGTGTATTTAACTATTTATGGTTCTTCATCTTTCCAAAGGTATCCTAACTATAAAACCTTTACATCAGAGCAACCTCAATGTCCTTTGAGTGTCAGCAGTGTGGCAAGTGTTTTAACAATGCAGGACACTTTAGGGCTCATAAAAGATTCCACACTGGGGAAAAGCCTCATGAATGTAAACAGTGTGGCAAGTGTTTTAGCCGATCAGGAGACCTGAGGATTCATGAAAGAGTTCACACTGGGGAAAAGCCTTATGAATGTAAACAGTGTGGCAAGTGTTTTGGCGAAGCAGGGAACCTAAGGACACATGCAATAGTGCACACTGGGGAAAAGCCTTATGAATGTAAACAGTGTGGCAAGCGTTTTAACCGAGCAGGAAACCTAAGGAATCATGAAAGACTTCACACTGGGGAAAAGCCTTATGAATGTAAAGAGTGTGGCAAGTGTTTTAGTGAATCAGGAAAGCTAAGGATACATGAAAGAGTTCACACTGGGGAAAAGCCTTTTGAATGTAAACAGTGTGGCAAGTGTTTTAGTGAAGCAGGACACCTAACGACTCATGAAAGAGTTCACACTGGAGAAAAGCCTTACGAATGTAAACAGTGTGGCAAGTGCTTTATTGTAGCAGGAAAGCTAAGGAGGCATGAAAGAGTTCACACTGGGGAAAAGCCTTATGAATGTAAACAGTGTGGCAAGTGTTTTAGTGAATCAGGAAAGCTAAGGATACATGAAAGAGTTCACACTGGGGAAAAGCCTTTTGAATGTAAACAGTGTGGCAAGTGTTTTAGTGTAGCAGGACACCTAACGACTCATGAAAGAGTTCACACTGGAGAAAAGCCTTACGAATGTAAACAGTGTGGCAAGTGCTTTATTGTAGCAGGAAACCTAAGGAGGCATGAAAGATTTCACACTGGGGAAAAGCGTTTTGAATGTAAACAGTGTGGCAAGTGTTTTAGTGTAGCAGGAAGCCTAAAGACTCATGAAAGAGTTCACACTGGGGAAAAGCCATATGAATGTAAACAGTGTGGCAAGTGCTTTAGCGAAGCAGGAAACTTAAGTATACATGAAAGAGTTCACACTGGGGAAAAGCCTTATGAATGTAAACAGTGTGGCAAGTGTTTTAGTGTAGCAGGAAGCCTAAGGAGACATGAAAGAGTTCACACTGGGGAAAAGCCTTATGAATGTAAACAGTGTGGCAAGTGTTTTAGTGTAGCAGGAAGCCTAAGGAGACATGAAATAGTTCACACTGGGGAAAAGCGTTTTGAATGTAAACAGTGTGGCAAGTGTTTTAGCGAAGCAGGAAGCCTAAGGACTCACGAAAGAGTTCACACTGGTGAAAAGCCTTACGAATGTAAACAGTGTGGCAAGTGTTTTAACCAAGCAGGAAACCTGAGGAGTCATGAAAGATTCCACACTCAGGAAAGATCACTTAAATTTTCCCAGAAAAACAAACGTCTTTCCAAGCGTTTCGAATCCTGTAAACGGAAGACAGCAGGAAGTGAAAACATTGATGTCAGGGCCACAGGCTTTACAGAGAACCAGCAGACACAGAGAGAAACCGGAAACACTGGTGTAACAGATGCACGATCGGTCATTATTGAGAAACACAGCTGTTGGATTTGTCAAGAGGAGATGAGTAGTGAGGCTCTTCTTCTACAACATTATGAAAATCATATGACCCATGTTTGTGACGATTATTCTTGAAGTTTAAAAAACATTTTGGTCCTTTTAAGTTCTTCTCTTTGGTTTGTTTTTTGGTGCTTTGACAACATTTTTAAGTTTTCAACTCTAAAAGGTTTTGTTTAAAGCGTGTTGCTTTCATACTTGTGTTTCGTTCGATGTATATGATTATCATGATGGAATAAACGATGAAAGAACAGCTTCTGTCTTAATTCTTCGGTGAAAGAAAAACGCGATTTAAATCAAAGTCTTAGGCCCGGTTCAGACGCCGTACTTTTCATGAGCCGAACCTAATTCGAATTAAGACCGACCCAAATTATTTGGACCGGCTGAATTGATTCAGACACCGATCTTAATTCCAGCCGAACTAAATTCAGAAGGAGAAAAATGCTCATTGCGGTCAAACTGCTTAGAAAATACGTCATAATAATTTATGCATTAGGTTAGGTACATGAAAAGTCCGGCGTCCGAATCAAAGCCGTTCCAAAGTCGCTCCAAAGGCGAAATTCCCGGCCAGGCTAGGCGAAAAGAACGTCTGAGCCGTTCCAAATTGAAACAGGCGTTCCTAATTTATTCAGACGCCGAACTTTTCATGTAGTTAATTTAATGTATGAGGTTCGGCTCATGAAAAGTTCGACGTCGAAACCGGGCCTTAGTGCTTATTTGTACGTGACCACTTAAAGAAGACTCTAACTTCTCATGATACGAATGGAAAGATACTTTTTTCTTACAATGTAAAAAAAATGCTTTCTTAGTTTCATCCACATTCTACAGTCTCCGGGTACTCCCGCACTTCAAGTGACAGGGATGATCGAATGGGGGAAAAAATCAAAACCCCCAAAAGTCCCTAGTGCTTTAAACAAAACCCAAAGGACTCCTGGACCAAAATTTAACCAGCAAAAAAATCCCGTGCCGAGCCATAAAAATTTCCAGGAAGCGTTAAATGATATAACTATCATGAATCTTCAGATTGTTTTGAATACCCAAAACAATCCCACTTAAATCAAGCTGCCAAATAAATACTTGCTAAAATTTTCCTGCTTCTTGAATTTGTAATTGTCTTGTGAATGTTCTTGAATCAAATTCCAGATAATTTTAAGTTGACAAGTGGCAACAGCATGAACAACCACTAGTTAGAGAGCAACGTTTCTTTCCATTTCTCCACCGTGAAGAGAAGACGCTGAATTTAGGGGAGAGTGTTGGAATTGAGAAGAAGATCAGAGCAGCAGGCAACTGCTGTATGGATCAATCCAGTTATTTCAAATGTTTGTTCCGGCGAGCACGAAAATCCAAACAATCTGGATTTTTTGGGACGCGTACTGTTCGGACATTAGGGTGTGATAGCCAAGATTAGAGAATGTTGTAATCGTTTTGAAATTTTGATATTAACACAATTAATTTTGAAAATGAGGCATATTTTACGAAAAAAAAGCGTTGGTTTACCATGTTTATCACCGCCTGTGGCCGTGGTTTTCTTTTTTCATCATCAATCTAGTATGATGACCTAAGAAGATTATAGCAAAACAAGTTTTACCAGTTATCTCTGATTCTCCGCATTTTGTAAAATAAAATTAAAAGAATATTTAACCAATAGTTTCTGTGAAGTCTAAACTCAAATATACTAAGGGACTTATAAGTCAATTCACACTTTACCCACAGGAAAAAAAATTAAAATGTACAGATTGGACAGAGGATATTGAATAAGTGAATGTGATCATATCCGCTGAAAAAATGGCTAATTCAAGAAAATCAGTTAGCTGAAAAAAAAAATACAAAAACCCATTGAGATAAAACTAAAGCTATAGAAATACCAGCTGAAATTTGTTAACAACAAATCCATCATCTGAACGTCAAGAGTCTATCAAGTCAAGCTCCTTAAACAACTGGATACTACTTCCGGTGCGCCTCGTTTTCTTTTAATTCATGCCTATCTGCATTCAGAATTAAACTGAAGTTAGTGGAGTCGAACTAATCCGTCTATGGCCCGCGTGGCAGGTGCTTGAAAGGGAAGGGAGAGGGGGTGTTTTGGCGTGGCCCCCTTGCGTTTCCTTCGCGCTCAAAATCCCCTTTCCGTTCCCTTTCAAACGCCTGTCACGCAGGCTAATCTGTCTATGTTGGCGTATTTTGATGAGGGAGTAGCCGTCTGTCTGTGCATGGACGTCGGCCGACAAAACGTCTCTATTCTTTAGTGTCATGAAAACGACCAATCCGACATTTATGTCTTGCACTGTTCTTGCTCCCGATATTGGTCCCGGCGTAACCACTTGAACTGCCGTTCGGTACTCGAACTTAACCGAACTTAATCGAAGGATTGGGTTCGATTAAGTTCGGTAATCGAACACAGTGGAACCCAAAAAATTCGTGAGAGTTTGATTTCCGCACTAAATTGAAGCAATCGAACTTCATTGAACGTCCTAATCTACACTCAAAATAGGCAAGAACAAAGCAACAAAACAACCAGATTATCTACGATCATGAAGAATAAATGTTCCGGGTTTTTTTAATTCCCTTGATCGCTCTGTTTTACTGTAGCGCTGGTTAGTTTCCCTGGTCCACGTGGCAGATACAAAAGTGGAGGAGGTCTGAACCTAAAAGGGACGCTATAAAGTAAAAGAGTCTTTAACGGAGCATAATATTCACTGTGTGATTGAGGATAGTCTTGTTCTTCTCGGGTGTTCTTCTTCTTACAAAAAATACACTATACTGTACACTGATCCGCCACAACCACTCCTGGAATATACTTAGTCGTAGGACACCCTACAAAAAATAAAACATTCGGGAAAACACGCGCAATTTCCTTTATAACGTCCTATTTTTTAATCGAATGAATGCCAACTTCGACCATCGAACCTAATCGAAATCAATCAAAGTTCGATTTAATCACTGTTTTTTTTGTGAGAGTTCGATCACCGAACTTAATCGAACATTATCGGTCGCTTAAGTTCGATTAAAAAACGTTCGCGGATTTACTTAAAGTGGTTCCGCCGGGATTGGTAGAGGAAAGGTTTGAAAGCCAGATTTCATCATCCTCTGACTTGTAGCAACCGGCTTAACATAACTTTTAGTACAACTGACAATCAGTCCATTGTCACTAAGAACCGTATTTATAAAATAATGGAATTCTCTTTGAAGGACAAGAAACGCGGGAAGACACCAGAGGTCAAAGTCCAATCACAGAGTCAGATATGGATGTGTTTTGTTGTATTTTGTTAGTAAGCGGGGACCGTTTTTCATTGATCTGATCGAAGTCCGTGGTTTTCACTTCACCCCGGCGCTCCACACCCACCTCGGGCTTGACCTTGCTTGCTTGAAAAACTCGAAAAAATAACTCATGGGGCTGCAGCCTACAGGAATATGGCCGACGAGAACAGCCCTCACTACCCCAAACACGTTTCTTGTTGTCTATCACTAACCTTCCATCGGAAAAACGATTTGCACATAAAAGGAAGAGAGGCTACATAAAAGCAAATGCACTAAAAATACAGCAATTGAATTCCTTGAAACTACCAAACAAACAAACAAGTAAGAAAAACAACCTTAGCTCACATTCTTCTCCTAACCCTCCCAGCCATGTTATCCTGCTCACAATCTCCGACGATCATCCTCGACGGACCCCCGGGGGACCACCGGCGGGTTTTCGTACTCTCCCCAGGTTTCTCTCACAATTCAAAATTAAGATGGCGGCGGCTGTTTTTTTGAATCTGTGAATCCTCCAAACAGCCCATTTCTTGGTTGCATTTTCCCGCGTGTGATTTGATCAAGGCGGAAATATCTTGTTACTTAAGGTAAGATAAGCTTTCAGTTCATTAAGGATACGTTAGTCACACAGGTTACACAGGACATTGCCGTCCTCTTGCGAAATCTTTGGGGACTTATAGCGAAATTTGTTGTATCCCGCTGTGCATTTTGCATATTTTGGGTTTTTGTTTTCCCTCAATCATCTTTTAATAGCGGACCTCTTAGGAAATACATATTTACTTGCATGAGTTCAAAAGGTCATGGTTTGTCATTTGTTATTGGTGGATCTCGATCTGTTTTGTTTCTTTCCTGTTACAATGGGCTTTTACTTCGGGTAGAAGAGCACAGAACGCGTCATCAGTGGAATGGGCAAAAGAGAAACATTATCGTTAATTTATGGCAAATGTATGCAACCGGGTAGTCGTAATAGAGACAAACGTATGCATTGACATGAACGCACTACAATGTCTTGTCACGGTAGAAACGAGTACTTTTAGTTGCTAACTTTGGAAGTGTGGAAATGTGGAAATATGTCTTCATTGTCTTAATTTATCTAATAACTCTGGAAGCGTGGAAGTGTGGAAATGTGGAAATGTGGAAATATGTCTTCATTGTCTTAATTTATGTAATAACTCTGGAAGTGTGGAAATGTGGAAATATGTCTTCCTTGTCTTCATCTAGTAACTCTGGAAGTGTGGAAATGTGGATATATGTCTTCATTGTCTTAATTTATGTAATAACTCTGGAAGTGTGGAAATGTGGAAATGTGGAAATATGTCTTCCTTGTCTTCATCTAGTAACTCTGGATGTGTGGAAATGTGGAAATATGTCTTCATTGTCTTAATTTATGTAATAACTCTGGAAGTGTGGAAATGTGGAAATGTGGAAATATGTCTTCAATGTCTGTGTCTAATAACTCTGGAAGTGTGGAAATGTGGAAATGTGGAAATATGTCTTCCTTGTCTTTGTCTCAAAACTCTGGAAGTGTGGAAGTGTGGAAGTGTTCCTCCACTGTCTCTATCTGTTAAAGGGACTGGTTCACGATAATGCGCATGTGTGAGTTCTGACAGTAGCTGATTGTTTTTCAACCAATCGGAAGCGAGTTAGATGCACGCAAGTAGATTTACAAAATTCAAATTAATTGTTCGCGACGCGAGAGTATTTCCGGGCATTTGGTTTGAATTTATTTATCCCCATAATTAAAGTTTATTCTTTGCTACTCCTCAGATATATGTTGCAGCCGATAAGAATATGATTTACAGCCCTGTCTTGCTTTGAAACAAACA